TTTTAGAGAAGGGAGAGGGAGGGAGGAAACATCAATTGCCTGCCTCCTGCATGCCCCCTACTGGGGATGAAGCCCGCAACTCAGGCATGTGCCCTGACTGGGAATTGAACCGGTGACCTCGCAGTGCATGGGAAGATGGATGCTCAACCAGCTGAGCCACACTGGCCAGGGCTGTTACATTTTCCTGGTATTATGTCATAGATTGTCCACATTCCGTGTTTGTTTGTTTCCTTGTGATTAGATTTAGGTTAACATTTTTGGTGGGAGCCCACATAGGTGATGATGAGTGCTTCCCATCAGGAAGCATGATGGTGCCAGTTGGCCCGGGTAAAGGTGATACTAACTTTAATCACCTGGTTAAGCTGGTGTCTGTGAAGACTATTTTCGACTTAAGGCAGAGAACTTTGGGTTTTTGTTGTTTATTGGTTGTTTGGCTGTTGGTTTTGAAGGCAGAGAACTTGGGAAGTAACTTTTCTCTGACTTCTGGGGGGGAACCCTGACAGCCATTTTGAAAATGAGTCTGTTTCTGTGTCATTTGTACCCGCTGCTGAGAAACATCTTGTTGTAGTCCAGTGATTTTCAACCCTTTTTATCTCATGACACACATAAACTAATTACTAAAATTCTGTGGCACATCAAATATATATTATATTTTCTGCCTACCTGACAAAAAAATAGGTATAACTTTGATTCATTCACACTGAATGGATATTGTGCTGCCTGTTGTCATTTTTTAATTTGGAAATCTAAGGGGGAAAAAAAGGTCAGTGCCCCTGACTAAGTAGTCAGGTATTGCATGTTTTAAACATTCTCGCAGCACACTGGTTGAAAATCGCTGATGTAGTAAAAGAAAAGCCCTGGGAGCCAGGAAATGGGATTTGAGACCAAGCTCTACAGCCATCTCTCCCCATGGTTGTAGACAAGTTATGTCATCTCTCTGGGCTGAGCTATTGTACATATAAGGAAATAGACACTCAGAGAGGTGAAGCAATTTGCCCAAGGCCACTCAGCTAGTAAGTAGCAAAGCTAGGATTCAAACCCAGTTGTTTTTGGGCCAAAGTCCCCTTGCCCTTTTGCCAGTCTGCCTCCTCTGAGGTGGCTATTCATCATTATGGTGGCACCAAGTACTAGATACTAGTGCAGAAAACCCGGCAGAACACTAGCCCTTGTAGGATCTGAGTTGTAAGGGAAGGGAGAGGTACCTCTCTTGCCCACGTTGCTTTCCTGATTGTGGCAGGCTGTTCCCTAAGAAGGCCTGGCACCTCAGGCAAGCTGGTAGGCGGGCTGTTGGATGCTGCTCAGCCACCTTTGGAATAAATACTTTGTGCAGGTGTTACAAAGGTGAGCTGCTCGTGCTATTCCAGTCTCCGCCTGACCAGACAGGGAAGTGCAGGCCTCGCATACCTGGCCATGGCCTGTGTTAGGGTCAATGCCCAGGATCCCCAGATTGGCCTGGCAGGTGGATGGAGAAGGTACTGCCTAAGCCTGCCTGGGCTCCTGGGGGAGGGGAGGGAGACCAGAGGCGTTAATGGGGAAAGGTGTGCAGAGCCTTGCCAAGCAGGTCGCTGTGGGTGGGGAGACACCGCCTGCGTGCTCTGCACGCCCCAGGAATTGGGTGGAGGTTCTCCAGGAGGCAGCCAGCAAGGAGGGCCATGGTGGCAATACTGACTCCAGGAACTGCTCCTGCCAGCCCTCTGCGTTGGTGGCCCTCCAACCCAGCAACCTGTCTTCTTCCTGGTTAGAGGCTCTCCCCAAGGCAAGGAGCACCTGGGCACCTGGTAAGTAGTGTCTGCTCCTCATGCGGCCTTGGTGTTCTTCCCCGGAGCAGTTGTTTTGAGGGAAACAGTGGATCTGGCTCAATCAGGATATGGTCTGTTAAGACCACATTGTCCTCTTGCTATAGAGCTGAGAGTGCCTGTCCCAAGTTCCACCTGCTTTTCCCTGCATTATTCATCCTCATAGGCCTGCAGGGAACGGCTGAATTTGGGGCCAGGGCCAGAGTGGCCCGGCAAGGAGCAGGCTGTGCTGTGTGGGCCCTGAGGGGACTCTGGGGAGTTCTTCTACCTCCTCCAGCAGTGCATCTTGGAGAGGACCCCCTCCCCCCAGGGCACCGGCAGCCAGATAGGCAGGGTCAGAGGGGCCCCTGGAGAGAGGGAACCTCAGCAGGAAAGTAGTGTTTCCAGGTAGCACTCGGGGAGCAGTGGCTGTGCTTTACCTTGATTCTTTGGTGGGAGCCCCTTCTCCCTCCTTCCGGATGGGGCTGAAATCCAGGCTGGGAGCTGACATGACTTGACGTGTAAGGCCTTCCGCTTTCTGAATGACTTCGCCAAGTCATCACTAAGTCATACTAGTCCCGGCATTTCCCTGTGGCTCCCGAACACGCCTCCGACTGGCCCTGGGTCCTGAGGAGCAAGAGGGCAGTTTGGAGCAGCTTTCTCACTGAGAGCTCTTGCGTACTGTCCTGTCAGCATAAACTTCAGAATTCACTCGCTGGCAGATCCAAATGAGGATTGGAAGGTGAGGGCTGCTGATTCTCTGACTCTCCACAGTGCTTTGATGTTTCAGAAGTCCGTTCGGGCTCCCTAAAGTTGAATGCTCATCTGTCCTTTCTCTCCCTTACCTCTGGTTCTCCCTTCCCTCTTAGGCGGACTTCGTGCTTTTCAAATATTTCTTAACTAGGCCCTTATCTGGGACCTCAGAGAATAGCCACATAGGTGTGTACTTGAAAAGGAAAGACAGAAAGCAAGTACTGAAAATGTCTCTGAGATCCAACACCGGGTGAGTTGCTCGTTCCTGAGCTGGTTTCATGCAGGTGAGAGCCAGAGCGTTTGTGGGGTAGAAAGCAAGCAGTGTTTGAAGGAATCTTTCTCCTCTGCTGAGCTTCATTACAGAAGACTGCTGCAGACACAGGAAACTGTCCCTCTCCCTACCGACACCCTCCTCCCGCCTGCCCTCCCATTCCAGACTGCATTCCCGCCACTGTTGTTGTCGTCGTCGTTGGAGCAGGTGTGTGTTAGCTCTGTGTTGTTACACCCAGAGGGCAAGAGGCAGAGATGCAGTCTGGGCACCATCTGTGCCACCTGCTGCTCTTGGAGGTCGGCAGGGAATTCCATGGCATTTTATGCCAGAATGTTGCATCCTGGGACAGATTTCAGCTTTTTTGCTTCCTCTTGCTGCTTTCTAAAATAATGATGTCGCCCAACCGGGCGTGGCTCAGCGGTTGAGCATCGGCCTAGGATCCAGGTGATCGCTGCTTGATTCCCGGTCAGGGCACATGCCCTGGTTGCGGGCTCGATCAATGACTCTCTCATCATTGATGTTTCTATCTCTCTCTCTCCCTCTCCTTTCCTCTCTCTGAAATCAATAAAGATATATTTAAAAATAATAATAATAATAACGATGTCTAATGTTTGTATCATGCTTTCAAAACCATTATCGTTATTATTATTTTGCTTAACACAGCACATGTTCATTATGGGAAATTTAGGAAAATCAGGTAAGCAATAAGAGAAGAAGTAAAAATTACCTGTAAGAGATACTCATTATTAACATTTTGGTGTATGAATTATATAATACAAATGTTTTTCACATTTACTCTCTCATCTGAGCCTTGCTGCCTTCATTAGGGAAGGCATGTGGATATTAATCCCATCTTAGAGATGGGGAAACTGAGCCACAGAGAGGTTAAGAAGTTGCCCAGAGGTGCACAGCCTAGTACTGACAGAGCTGGGAGTGTATTTGTCATACAGTCCAGCACTAGTGCTCTCTCTACTCTATCCCATTGTCCTCTGACCTCTTGGATTGCAGCAGGGCCTGGGCAGTGGCTGTAATTTATTGAAATGTCTTATCCAAGGGTTAGTAAACAGATGGTGGTAAACAGATGGCGCCTAGATGACACTTTGGCCTCTCATTGACTTAGGAGAAAAGATAGGAGATATGCTTCTTAGATTTAAAGTATTGCCATTCCAACACTTCAGCTCCATCTTGGTTATCGGAGGCTTTAGTAGCCACACATTAAGAGGGAGTGATAGACTAAAGGAGAGGAGGGGTTGGGAAGCTGTCCAGTGACACATGCTGCAGTAACTGAGAAGTTTGATGCTGCTTTGAGAGGAAGGTGGTGCAGGCTGAGACTGGGTGAACGGAGAGGTCAGGCAGGACCAGACTAGGAATGGAAGTTAGTTGGAGGAATGGTCCACTGGCCAGGATACGGGACACTTGATAGCAGTAGAGTCAGGAATGGAAGCGAGAGACAGTGCCGTGGAGTGGTTGAGAGCTCCCACCCTGAAGGCAGACTGGCTCCTGGCTCTGCATCCAAGCTCGGGCGGTCATGGAACTTCCTTCACTCTTCTTTGCTCTGGTTTTCTCTTCTGTAAATGGAGATGATAATAGTACCGGCTTCGTAGTCCTCACTTGTGATGCCTAAGTGAGTCACTATACGTAAGGAGCTTACAATATTGCCTGGCACACAGAAACGCTATGCTGTTTGGTTCAGGCAGAATTTGAGTAGGCACCATGTGCAAAGAGTCATAGAAGTCATTAGGAAAGCAGACAACAGTGGGTCCAGGCTGCTTGTCACCACTGGAGCCAGTTAAGCAGAGACAGATTGAATCATATAGGAGCATTTATTCCAATAATGCCTGCAGTATGGGAGAGCAGAAGGGTCATCACATAAAATCTGCTCTACCGCCCCCTATAAGCCAGCTGCTGTTATTGGGTAGAAGGACAAAGATTATATGGGAAAAGAGTAATTACGGGCATGGGGAAGTAGGCACGGTATAATGCTAACTGGTTATAGGCAATGCGGGCTTGGGGTCACCAAGGGGCAGGCGCCTCCCGGACTCCATTGTTTTGGGAACAAAGCTGTTAATCTTCCTATGATGATAAAAGGAGAGTGGACCACATTCCAGAGTTAACTCCCAGTTCCCTGGGCATACAACTCTCAGCTAGGTTACAATGTGCTTTCTCTAATTGGAACAGAACAATCTCAGTTAAAGAGCATGATTAATATTTCTTCCCCTACCATTTCTACGTATGTGTGGCTGTGGCCTGCTTCCCCAGCCTTCTCTGGACTCTGCCACTCCAGTCTTCTTATGTCTCTACCCACCTCTCCTGGTCCCAGGAACCTGCATTTCCCCTTCCTAGAACACCCTATCCTTCAGTCTATATAAAAAAAGAAATCTGTCCTCTTCTTAGTTTTATTTTTTTCTCTGAACTCTGTTTTCTCTAATGAGCATATTTTACTTTTAAGATCATTTCTGGATGACCCAGCTGTCCTTGGCCTTGAACCTTCCCAGAGGCCTCCAGCAGAGGCCATTTCCTCCTCCTCAAGACTCAGCCACCCTCCTCCCCTTCCCCCGTTTGTGTATAGCTTTCCCCTTGGTAGCTGCAGGTGCTGGTCTTATCTTCCTCCCTGACTGGAGTATAAACACTATAAAGGCTCCTGAGGATTGGTCTCCACCTTCCCACCACCTGCGCTGAGAAGAGCCAAGTCCTGTGAGTGACCCAGGCCTCCTTCCACTGAGTACTACTCGTGAGGTCTGCTCACTGAGAGGACTGCGGAGTCAAGGGGGATAGAAACAGCCAACACTCCCTCCCCATGGGGAAGATGAAGCCAAGACACATGCGCTATCTCCCCCAAGGTCACCTGGCAGATCAGTGGGAGAGCCGCTCTCTGGATTCCCTGTGTCCCCTGCTCTGAAGCGCTACCAGTTCATTGTAATCCTGATGAGCCTCTCTTCTGACTGGAATGGGCTGGAGAGCATCTCTGATGCCCTGGAAAACTGAAGCCCGAGGACAAGTGATCTTTATGGGACTGCTTCAGGCTGGTCAATGAATTGAAATCTTTTTTCCAATTTTAAAAATTATTCATTTATTCAACAAATATTTATTGAGCAATTACTGCCTGCCAGTCACTCCTCTAAGACTTGAGGATAAGTTTGAATCTAACATATGAGAATCTCTGCCTCGTGGGGTTTAAATTCTTTTGGGGGGACATAAGCAGTAAACAAATGAGTTTTAAAAATACACATATGTGTGTACATATACATACATATGCCTGTATACATGCAGGTTTACATATACACATACATGCATGCATGCATACTATTCCAGATAGTGGTATTAGCTACGGAGAAAATTGAAGCAGAGAAGGGAAATGGAAGTACCCGGGGTGGGCTGGGGTGACTTAAAAAACTGTGATCAGGTTGAGTGTCACTTTTTTTTCTCTTTAAATATATCTTTACTGATTTCAGAGAGAAGGGAGAAAGAGAGTTAGAAACATCAATGATGAGAGAGTCATTGATCGGCTGCCTCCTGCATGCTCCCCACAGGGGATCGAGCCTGAAACCCGGGCATGTGCCCCGACTGGGAATCAGACCGCGATCTCCTGGATCCTAGGTCGATGTTCAACCACTGAGCCATGGCCGGCCAGACTTGACTATCACTTTTAAACAGAGCCCTGAGGAGGTGAGGCAGCCAGGACATTTTCAGCTGGAGGAAACAGCTGCAAAGGCCCCAAGGCACACATGTCTGCCGTGTTCAAGACCAGTAAGGAGGCCATGTGCCTGGCCCCGAGTATACCAGGAGGGGAGCAGCAGGCAGGGGCCTTCAGGTAGGCCTTGCAGGCCTGCATAAAGACCAGCAGGAAGCTCCTGGAGGGATATGATCACAGAATGGGTGGAATCTGACTTAAAAGGATCGCTCTGACTGCTGTGTGGAGAGGGGTGGGGTGAAGCCAGAGCAGAAAAAGCAGTTAGGAAGCTGTTGCAATAATCCAGGCAAGAGATGATGTTGGCTTAGACCAGGGTCATAGCAGTGGAGGTGACAAGAAGTGATCAGATTCTGGGTTTTTATTAGAGGCAGAGCCAACAGGGTTAGCTGGCTCCAACATTTTGGCCTGACCAACTAGAAAGTTGGAATTGCCATTAACTGAGATGAGAAAGATGTTGGGGAGGGTTAGGGGCTCGGTTTGGATGTGTTAGATGTGTTACCATTGGGCATCCATGTGGAAATATCAGAGAAGCTGGTATTAGAGAAATAAATATGGGAGCCATTAGCATATTGAAGGTATTGAAAGCCACAAACCAGCGTAAGATCATGCAGGGAGGGAGTGTAGAATGAAAGAGACCCTAAGAGGTCAGGAAGAAAATTGCTCACTGGCACCAGTAAAAAAGATTGCTAAGGAGCAGCCAGTGAGGTCAGAGGAAGACCTGGAACCAAGTGAAGGAACGGTGTAAAGGAGGGAGGACTCAGCAATGAATCACACGCCCTGATAGATGAATGACATAAGATAATGCATGCTCAGTGCAGAAAGTTTAAGGAGTACCCTGCCATAAACACAATAAGTCACCTGCTTCCCTATTCATACACAGAAACTTTCATTCTTTCTGTAGTCAATTTTATGGGATTTATGCTATAAAACTTAATTCTGCTATTTTCCACTTAGCAAGTTACTATTCTGTGGAAACATGAGTTTAATGGGTGGATAATACTCCATTTTCGGGGGGGATGCCCTCATTTATTTAACTATTCCTGTGTTATTGGACATTGAGACATTTCTGTTATTTCTCATTATTGTAAATTTTTCATTATAAAAATTGATTTCATTATCATAAATAACACTGCATCGAACAGCCTAGTACATTTTCCTATGAGAGTCATTTTCCTATGACCTTGTAATTCCAAGATCAGAGGACGTGAACACTTTTAGGTGAAGCTTGGATTTGGAGCCACATTTCTCCTGGTCCAAACTGACTAATCCTGGCTTAGCTGAGGGCTCTTCTGTCTCCTCTGTCCTTGGGGAGGCTCAGCAGTCACTCAGCCCTGCTGACCCCCGTTCTGCCTTCCCCACTCCAACTCTGAGTCCTGTTTTTCCTGGGCTGGACAGAGTTTCATTCCCTCTCACTAGGTATGGCCACCCCCTCAGTGCCCCTCCCCTGTCCTTGCCAGCAGCCTCTGTCGCCTCACCCAGCAGGAGGTGTTAGTCAGAGCTTCCCTCAGAGGACCACTGTAGGGCTGTAGGGTTCAAGTGAAATAGTCCATTGTAGGTGCTCGACACTTGTTAGTCTTGTCTGCCTTCCTCTCACTGGGTCAATTAAATGAGATTATGATGTGAAGGTGCTTTGTGAACATTAAGGGGCTGGCTGATGTCCTATTCTTAGATGTTTAAAAAGAAAAGAGTGAGTAGTGATGTCTGGTCCATGCTGTATAACCACATAGCTCCCAGAGCAGGGCCACCGATCACACACGGGTTGGTGTGCTGGTCCCAGAGCTGTGTGTCAGAGGTTTGGGGGCCTAGATGGAGTTGTCGGCCTAGGAATGTGGCTGTTCAAGTCAGTTGGCCTTCTGCCAACCAGTGCCAGGTGCCGCTTGTGCTCCTAGATATGTGTGTGTCGTAGCTGGGAGTCACTAGGACCAGAACAGTGCTGGGAGGCCAGAGCCGGGGGGCGGGAACGGGGGTGAGCAGGCAGGGTCCATGGGCCCCTCTGACCTGCCCTGACGTTTTACTCAGTGGGGCACAGGAGAAGCGCTCAGCTGGGTGAGGCCCTCCAGCCTTGGCTTCTCAGCCTGACCTCCCAAGAACTGAGCAGGCAGGTGTCCAGGGCCCCGGGGGAGTGGCCTTCCCTCTCCCGCCAGTGCCCCGCTGGGCTTGTGGCAGCCCTGGCCCTGAGCCTGGCTGAAATGGCCTGTAGCCTGTCCTCCACAGCAGCCAGAGGTCCTTTCTCTCAGCTAATTTAATCCCCACCCAAGGACTTCCCACTGCTTTCAGAGAGGGGGGGAGGAAGAGAGGAACATCAGTGTGAGAGACAGCAATTGGTGGCCTCCTGCTCGCACCCCAACCAGGAACAGGGATTGAGCCTGCAACCGAGGTACGTGCCTTTGGCTGGAATCAAACCTGGGGCCCTTCAGTCCACAGGGCGATGCTCTAACCACTGAGCAAACCAGCTAGGGCCAGAGGAATTCTTTTTTAAATGCAGCTCTGAACCTGCCCATCCGCTTCATAACCCTCTTAGGTTCTCTGCTGCTCTTTGGATAAACCCACATCTTTCACTTGCCCTGTGAGGTCCTAAGAAATCACCAGCCTCGGCTAGACCAGCCTCCCTGCCTTCCTGGCACACCAGCCATACAGCCCTTCTTTCCACCCCTCTGAGGGTCCATGCCATCCTCCCTCTGAGAAGCCATTCACATCTCTGCTACCTCGTTGCCCTGTAACCCTACTCACCTCCCTCTGAGTCAAAGGCCACATCCACCCTGAACGCCCAGCCTAGCCGAGCATGCTCTGAGAGTGCCCCCACTGCGCTTGGCGTTTGTCCCTCAGCCTTCCTAGGTGTGTGTTTGTGTTGGTTTCTTGACTAATGTGGCCTGGCATGCGGTGGTAGGTGCTTAACAAATATTTGCTGAGTGAATGAATAAAAGCAGCTGGCAGGGACCACAGGAAGAGTGGAGGGGCACCGATGGCATCTGCAGCCATAGCACCTGAGGTCCTGAGATGAGAAGGGTTCTAGAAGGGGCCCTGGTGTGGTCCCCTGGTGTTGGCACAGCTGCCCTTACCATACAGCCTTCTCTGAGCACCTCAGCTCCCTGAAACTCCTAGAGAGACCTTGCTCTCTCCTGGAACTAGGCAGGCCTTGCTTTTACCTCCACAATATTTCTCAGCATGTTATTTGATTTTCTTTGTTCAAAACACTTTTTGAAATATTCTCCATTTTCCCCCCAGTGATGAAAGTATAAAGAATTTGGAGAACACAGAAGAGTGTAATTAAGAAAATAAGAATCACCTATAACTCCTGCTCAGAAAAAGAACCATTAACATTTTGGGCCATGTCTTTCCATGTTTGGTTCTATGCATTATGTACATGGTCTGTTGTTGAGATTCTGTTGCTTGTGAAAACTGTACATTTTTAGCATCTCGGTCTTCAGTGGCTATAGGAAGAGGCAGCTGGGGCCCCAGGCAGTTGCTGGCCGGAGCCTCTCCCCTGCTCAGGTGGCGCCTGCTCGCCCTGGTGAGAGCCTCTTTCCCGTTCAGGTCTCTTCCCTGGCACGTTCTCAGTGGCTCCCTGAGGCCAGCTTTCCCCTCTATTTTAGTTTAGCTCATTTAACCACTGTCACACTGTTTTCAGTGGTGGCATTTGCCACTGTACCGATTCTCATTTATTACTGCCCTTGAGATGCAATACTCCACAGAAGTTAATTCCACTGCCTTGTATGTGAGGCTTAGGGGATGACCCTTGGTGGAATTGGAAGAATTCTAGAATGTGAGGGGCAGGGGTGGCCTCCTGGGTGTCTTTTCTCTGATTCTAGCACTCTCAGAACAAAACCAGCCCCAGCCCACTCTTGGGGGTGAACTTATGGGGTAGATCCATTCCAGCAAGAAAGCCACACAGGCCTCTTGTGTGCCCTAAGGGGAGGGGGGTGACCTGGATTGGCAGATGCGGAGAGGAGAGCACGGTGGAGTTGCTCTTCGGGGAAACCAGGGCATTATGTCAGTACCCAGATTAATGATTGATCGGAAAGCTTGGGAGAGGATGAACCAGGCCCGTCCTCTCGTTGCCTCCCTCACTGCTGGTCCTTAAAGCACTTGCCAGAGACGTGGGGCTGGAGGTTGCCGACCTTGTCCCCCTGCAGTAGAAGAGGGACAAGGAGAGGAAATGGCAGCAGCTGGGTCCACTGTAGGGTGGGGGCAAAGGGGAAGAAATGGAAGAGGGCTTGGACTCATCTCTGAACAGTGAAGCCTGGGCCGGAGTAGGGAGCTCCTGTCAGTTCTCTGTTCCCACAGTTGATTTTGAGGCAAGGAATTGAGAAATTCAATTCCTTGTTTGTTTCTGTC